CCCATGCCAGTCCATCTAATCTCACCGATGCCTAGTATGTCAATATTTATGCGTTCCATTTCTTCCTTAACAATATCTCATTTTCCTACATTCATGGTTCTCACATTCCATGTCCCAATCACCAGTGTCTGCTTATATTCTTTTTAAAATCTATCCCATAGAGCATTTTGTCTTCTTAGAGTATCCCAACCTTAAAATTTCAAGGTTACGTTTGAATAGTCATTTGAAACAAAGTTAGTCTGTGTCACTCTGTGGCAGACATGATCATACAGTGATATTTGCTTCACTGGGCAGCCTCACCTCTGGTTTTGTCAGTGACAATACCAATGATCTGAATCTTTAAAATAGTTCACGTAACAAAGATGGTTCGGCTTATCTTTCCCCATATGGTGAAGTAAGTGATTTGAGAGCATTCTCTCTCTGAAAAACAAAGTAATAAACCCAAAGAAATAAATGCATAATATTTTTAATGATGCATTTGCTAAACTATCCAGATAGCAAGGAGCTTTAGTTTGTGATAGAAAACACACCACTCTGAGAAGAACCTATCTTGTGTACATGGGTTGAAGATATGATATTCTGAGTTTAAATTCAGAAATGCCTTCTGTTGAAGGTCACAAAGATTAAAATCATAATAAAATTTCAGTACTGCTTTGTGGAGAGGGAATTTTGCCATCAGGAGTTAGGAGTAAAATGTTTCTCCTCTTTCCGTGCACACCAATATGTGTTGGGCCCAATGAGGGTTATATTTTTTAACTTATTTCTCTAACCAACGAATCCTTTTGTTTCTTTTGTGCTTAAATAAACATTTTGTCTTAAATAGTTTTAAAGTTACAGAAAAGCTGCAGAAACTTCATAAAGGGTTCTCACGTTCTCCTATTTTTAACACTTAACTTTGTTTGCCATGTCACTTTTGTCAAACTGAATGAAACGTACTATATGTTATTATTAACTTCATCATTTTCGGTATTTCATTAGTTTTCTTAAATTCCTTTTTGTTGTTCAGTATCTGCAATGGGCTTTTGAAATCCCTTTTAAATATTTTAACAGGGAACATAAGTGATAATTCTTAAGAGAGTTAACAATGAAAAGAGCTCTGGTCTCTGATTTAATAGTTTTCCGTCATCCACATGCTTTCTCTTTCCAGCTACGCTACAAGGAAACATTTGAAAAGACCAAAGGGAAATACCACACCGTGAAGGATGCACTGGACATTGTTTATCATCGCAAAGTCACAGATGACATCAGTAAAGTACGTCCCTAAATATTACTATTTGTGTTGGCTGAAGGACCCACAATAATTTTTAAAGACTCTGCCATTTCTAAAAGGAAGGTTTTTAAATATTACCTTTGGGCAAGACATTAAGTTGTGTTTGTATTTTGATCATAGGTGAAGTACAAGGCGAATTACATGAGCCAGCTGGGAATCTGGAGATCCATTCCTGACCGTCCAGAGCATTTCCACCACCGAGCAGTCACCGACGCAGTCAGCGATGTGAGTCTATTTCTGTGTGACTCATTTTCCCACATGAGCTATAAACGCGGCATAAGAAATGTTTAAACACCTAGATTTTAGATAGTGTATGTGATTGATAAAATCATAAAGCTCAGTTACTAAGTGATGAACTTCAATTTAGATGACAGAATAATCAAATTTATAAGCCTAATTTTTCTTCTAAATATATATTATATGGTTGAAAATTGTATTGTTCATCTAGGAATAGCCTATTTTTTATCAATTAGAGAGACAGTTTATGAAGCAATTAAGGCACAAAGTAGTGCTCACTTGGATATAAATTTTAGCTCTCTATATGAAAATACAGCTGCCAGACTGATGATATATTCTCTGGGAAAGTTTGCCTGTTAAAACTTGAATTGCATTAACTAGTATTGAAAATAAAAAATTCCACAATTATGAAAACAATATATGATATAGTGAGCAGAAATCTGTATTAATGGAAACTTCTTTTGTTTAATACTTTATCATTCCATATATTTCCATGTACAGAGCTCCTATTTGTCCCATCTATAGATCTTAATATGCTATTATTTAGAAGTTGTGTTGTTGTTTGTTTACCATTGAGGTCGAGTTGAAACTGACCCATAGCTGACCCTCCAGTGGGTTTTCAGAGGCAGGCCATCTCACAGGAGGAGATTGCTCATCGTTCTCCCATGGAGCAGCTGGTGGCCTCAAATTAAGTGCCTTTGGGATTGCAGCACAACTTCTTGCCACTAGGCCACCAGAGCTCGAAGTAGGTTTTTAAAATTTCTGATGATGTTCTTCTTCTCCTAGGTAAAATACAAAGAAGATTTAACCTGGCTGAAAGGCATTGGTTGCTATGCCTACGATACCCCTGACTTTAGTCTGGCTGAAAAGAACAAAACTCTGTACAGCAAGGTATATCTGCTCAAAGAGAATGGACACAGCCATTCAGCATAGATTTTTGCTAACAGAAAGGATTAGCATTGCAAAATAGCCTTTGCTAGTTCCATCCCTTTCTTGTAGAACCTCTGGTGGAGTAGTACCAAATTGTTCACTCTCCTTAGAAATTTCCTTAGTGTTGACTGTGTTGGCTATAGTGTTTAATTTTAAGTTGGTGTAATCTCAGTAAAACTCCATATGGCTCTTACAGCACTTCTCGCTGTTTATATGCCACTGGGCAAGTTACCCTGTTGGAGCTGATAGGGTAGCAAGTATAGAGTGGGGTTGTTCCACAAGCTTGATGTGTGACTTTGGGAAAATCACTTGGTTTTTATGGATCTTATTTTCCTATTAAAATAACACAGCTGGACTAGCTTCCTTTGAATTCTGAAACAGCCTTTTCTGAAAAAGACGGATAGAAAATTATTCAGGCATTTAGGCAATATTCAGCTACTGTATAGTCTTTCTTGATTATATTTCACAATCCCTTAAAGTTTTAAAACCCAGTCTTAGCTTATGGAACTATTTAAAAATAGACAGTAGGCTAAATTTTACCTGTGAGCCAACCTCTGGTCTAAAAACTATGATTATCTGAGTGATTATTAGAAAATGATATTAAAATTAAAGGGTTCAATGTTTTTCAAGTATGTATTAGAAATACCATTATGGTTTAAAAAGAATAAGAGTTATAATAATAGAAACAAAAAAGAAATTGATAAGGATTTTTTGCCAAACAAAGAAAATAGATGTATAGCATCCATTCAATGGAGGCTGTTTTCTACTGTGTATATATATTAAGGCTTGTTTTCAAGACCTCCAAGTAAGTTTGCTCTCCTTGTTTTGGGAGACAGAGAGTAAGTCCACAAATGCTTGTTAGCTCTATGATTAAATTGTTTAACACAATCATATGAAAAGGTAAATAATATGTCTTATTCTTAAAACAATCACAACCTGCAAAATAACCACTTTGTGTTTTCTCTAGTATAAATATAAAGAGGTATTTGAAAGGATGAAGTCCAATTTCAACTACGTTGCTGACTGTCCAATCAATAGGCATTTCAAATATGCAACTCAATTGATGAATGAGGTATGTATGGCCTGATCCAATTAAGTCTACTCTAGTTCCCTTCAGATGTCTGTAGAGAGAGAGTTGATTAAAACCAAATATATAAAATGGCAAGAAAGCCATTCTAAGAGCTGATTACTAAGATTTGGAAAGATTATGTCCCCATCTAATGTACTTTGGGAAAACTAAAGGTAAGAACAAGTGTGAGATCCTCACAGCCTTTAGTATCTCTGTCTACACTGACAATAGGCATCATTGCTCTGTCAGTATATAAGACCAAACAGGTAAAAGATTTAACAATGGGCAAAACTCCTTAAATTTAATATTGTGAAGAATTTGGAGGCCCATACATTTAAGGTTCTTTTTATATTTACTATTAAAGCGTTTAAATGCAATAGTTGACTGAGCCCCCACTAAAGGAATGGCTATGATACCTGCATTCCCATGCATTGTTAATATTACTCGCATATACATTAGCACTCAAAAGTATCCATTTACCACCAGATTTTTTCCTTTGTATTCTACCCAATTATTCCTGAAAACATCTTTGCAATAATTAACTTTAGCAAAATATCTCTGAAATAATCAGACTATTAATTTGCTTATGTTTGGGTGGTTTTATATATCATTGCCCATTTCTCAAGGAATTATAGGAGATCTTAAACAATGTTATAAAATTAATAAATAGTATCTAAGGAAAATGTAATCAGTGGTGTATTTGCTTCAGTGAATGACTTTGTTGTTGATTAATTTGATTTAGTTCTTTTTCATTAGCTTTCCAGAATGAACAGCACTGAAGAACCATTCAGGCAGTTCTCCGGGGGTCATTCTCGATATATTTGTTTCTAATTTTCACTTTCCAAAAAAAAATTTCCAGGTCTTTTTTTATAATCAAGTGAATTAACTGGACTAAGGAAATTCTTATAATTTGTCCATGAATATATTAGTATAATTTTTGCTATTTGATTCTCATTGCCTTAGATATTAAACTTGCAGCCTATATTTGTGGCTTATTTTGTACAATGTAAGATGCCTTTGAATCTAATACTACTAGTGGCATCCTATGAAAAGATAGAAAGTATTTAATTACCAGCTCTCCAACTCCAATGTCCTAAAAAAAGACGTCTCCCAGCCCCAGCTTTCTCCAGGTGTTCATCACTTACCACTCTGTTCCCAATTACCTTTTGGGAACCCACCTCTAGAAATGCCATAGTTCTACCTTTCTGGAGTGTTTATTTGGGAATATTTTTGGTGTACCCTTGAAGTTTTACTCTTGCTGTAATTTGATATGATGTTTGAGCAGAAAAAATACAGAGCTGATTATGAGCAGCGGAAAGATAAATACCACCTGGTGGTCGATGAGCCTAGACATCTGCTGGCTAAGACCGCAGGAGACCAGATCAGCCAGGTACTGTGATGGGGCTGGCCGGACAGCCCAAGGCAGGACTGTGCTCCTGGTTTCTCACAAGGTGTCGTCCCGTCTGCTGCAAGGATGTCATAGGTTCTGCCTATGATATTGGACTGTTCTGTTTCCAAGTTCTCTGTCTAGCCACCCAAAAAGCCCAAGAGCTCTTTGAGTGTGCCGGTCCATGCTGTCCTCACGTGTGCAAGGGTGAAGATGAGAGGAATGGAAATGTTCTCCTACCCTCGCCCCTTCTGCAGGATCTGTCTGTAAACTGCATGTCCCCCAGGCCAGATTGTATTCTGTGTTGCAAAAGCAAAACCAAAATAACCCACACTTTAATGAAAAAAAAAAGAGAGAAGTGTATTCTTTTATTCCTATGCTGCCTTCTTCTCTAAAAGACAGTTTTGATGATAACATAAGATGTAACTATATCATTCCCCACTGGCAAGGACTATAATTGGCTAGGTTCAAATATTGCAGTCATTCGACTTAGCATGATGATAGATTCTGTGTCTTCTGTCACTTGTATACATGAGGACAGAGTATGTCTGCCTACATCTCTTCACTCCGAGGTGACTGGGATCTAGAGCTATGTTCTTTCTTGTCTTCATAAGTCTCTTTTGTGCTTCACTGCTCTTTGCACGGACAGAAAAAATATAAATCTAGTGCCAAGATGCTTCTGCGAAATGGATGTAATGAAATTCTGCGTCCAGACATGTTGACTGCCCTCTACAATACACACATGTGGAGCCAGGTAATGCCTGATATGGTGTCCAGAAGGTGGCTTAGGAACCTTTAGATGCATTTATTTTTTTGCTTTCACTGATTTCCTCTCCCCACCCTGCTCCATGCTGGTCTCCTATGATAGAGCTGCACAAATATCCATTGCTTGTAAGTAAAGTCTGGATGGGCCAGTAAGTGAAGTCTGGGCATGGCCAGGTGTGATGCTATGGCAGGCATCACCTGTACAGTGGGCGTGGACCACCGCCTGACACTTTTGGAACTTGTATAGGATTAACCGAGACACTTTCAAACTTTATTTCCAAATCGACATAACATTTATTTCTATTTTTTCCAGAATTTGCCATCCCAAAATAGATCTCTTAGAGCTTGAGGATATTAAGTGCAAGAGCATTTAAAAGGTCTAAATGTTTAATATTTTCAGCTAATTTGTTCTATTCTCCCATTATCACAACTGTACTACTTGGGAGGGATGAAGATCCTAATGCAACTCCTTGAGCATTATCTTTGTGCCCCTTCTTGAGTTTGATGCTACGTCTGCTAGATTCTTAAAAGAAATTTGCCAGCAGAACTATTCTTACACACATTTGCAGCATTGCTGATAAGAATGCTTTCTTCCTACAAGGCCCATTGATGTGCACACTGCCTTTCCATCACAGGATAAAATGTAAATTTTGTAGCAGCAACAAATGGTGATGAATGTTTAACTACCAGATTCACTATTATTAAAATACTATTCTACCCAGATTTAAAAGTTTGTAGTCATTATTTTGCACTATCAATTTGTTTCAACATTTTAGTTTGCTATCAAGTCAACACGTGAAATAAGGGGAAGGGGCTCTGCTCATGGACATTCTGCTTACCTGAGCGTTTTCTTTTCCCTGAGATGATCATCAGATAGTTTGCATGAACCTTTGCTGGCTCCTTGTGTTTGTATTGCTTGGAACAGCTTCTTTGCATGAAAAAAAAATTATAACCTAGAAATGACAAACACAAATTCAGTAAGCTCTTCAATCTTATCTTTCTTACATTTTACACCTGTTTATTCTTTGACACAGAACAAGATCATATATATGTCATAAGTAAATCAGTAGTCAGAGGCCAGAGAACAAGATTCTTATTCTGCTTCTGAGAGTCACTAACTCAATGTGCCCTGAGTTCAGTCTCCTAATGTCAGTGAGCCTCAGCGGCCATGTGTATGAGTATTTAAAAAAAATGTATAAAATGGATTTATACATTTTCTTTGATTATTTGCTCACTGCATTTTTATAACTTATATTGAACATTGGTTTTTTTATTAAACCAACCAAAATTTAAAGATACCATCTCCCACATTCATGACATGTAGTAATCCTGCACACGTCATTTTCTCTCAGAAAGAAAGATTTATTCTTTACAGTTCTTTATTCTATTTCTCCTCTCTAACTCTTGCTTCTGTTTAAAAATGTAGATCAAGTACAGGAAAAAATATGAAAAATCAAAAGACAAGTTCACTTCCATTGTGGATACTCCAGAACACCTGAGGACCACAAAAGTCAACAAACAAATCAGTGATGTAAGTATGAGAAACACTGGAAGGATTCTTGAATTAGAGGACCTTTGCAAATGTTCGACTGTCACAATGCCTGGGGAACTCTACTGCCATATTAGTGGGAGGAAGGCAGGATGGCTAAATGTCCTACTATGTACAAGATCCTTCTTTCATGATAAAGAGTTGTTCTGATCAAACTGACAGAGAAATACTGGGACCTTAGCAGAGAACATTTGTTGAATACATGGAATTTTCTTTTCTTTATACTTTTAAAAAAATATACATCCATTGTAAATTGAGAAGTATATCATTTTGCCTTACTGTTTTTTAATCTCCTTCAGATCCTTTACAAACTGGAATACAACAAGGCCAAACCCAGAGGCTATACCACAATCCATGACACACCGATGTTGCTGCATGTCCGCAAAGTTAAGGATGAAGTCAGTGATGTAAGTCTCCCTCCCCTTGTCCTCTTTTCAGTGTGACACATCAAATCCAGGTCTCATTATCGAGTGCTCCATAATCGCCACCCTAAAATTTGGTGGCTGAAAACAACAGTCATTGTTTTTGCTCATGAGGTGACTGGGTATACCCCAATGGTTCTTCTCCATGTGATGATGATGTTGGCAGCATCTGCACGTCCGTGGGGCCAGGCCATCCACTAGGGCTCACTCACATGGCCCACTCATGATAGCTATTGACTAGGGTATATATGAGAACCTCTATGTGTGGCCTCTCCACTGCTTAAAGATCCCACAGCAAAGTAACTACGTTTTAAAAGAAAGGAAATGGAAGCTTCCAGGCCAGTTTGGGGCTATTCCTAAAACTAACACAATATCACTTTTGCCATATTCCACAATCATAGTGTTCACCTAGGGAGCTCTGGTGGAGAAACTGTGCTGAAATCCTGAGGGCATGCAGTTCAAATCCACCAGCTACCCTGTGGGAGAAAGATGGTTAATCTCCTCTCATGCATTTTACTGACTCTGATCCTCTGGAGGATCAGGTATGGGTCAGTTCTGACTCGCTCATACAAAACAACAGTGTTCACCTAGATTCCATGGGCAAAAAGAGAAGTACTTGATAGATTTTGACATGGGGAAGGTCATAGAGCAGAAGAGCATTATAGATTGGGAGATACTGATGAGACCCATATGGAATGTCAATGTGTCACAACCGTGATTGCCACCCTAGAAGTTTATCTTGCCTGAGAGGAAGAAGCCAGCTGTTATCTTTAAGTAGTCTAAATTCTGGAAGAAATCTTATTTATACATGTTCAGATATACAGCTTAAATCTGTAGTTTAAAACTATCATCATTTGAGTTTAGTGGTGAAGGGAAAGCAGATTAATTTAAAAAAAAAATAAAATAAAACCCTAACACAAACAACTCCACAGCCAAATGAACTACTAGGCACCAGAGAATAATTAATGAAACTGTGAATAACTTTTCCCCATCTGAAAGCCTTCTCTGAGGGTGATGTACAGGAATTTCTTGATAGATGAATAAATATGTTCTTACATCACGTCTTCATAAGCATCTATGAAGTTGGACTACACCATGGAATCACTCCATATCACTGGAGGGGACAACTCTGTCTCCCCTAAATTTTGCTAATTATAAGAATAATGTGGAATAATGTGAAATAATGTGAAAATATAAATTTCTAGGCCTTTCCTATAAAGATAATGATTTACTAGGTTTTGTATTGCATTGTATACACCAAAATATAGTGTTGTAAATCTTTTTTTTATTTGAATTTATTATTAATCTCATAAAAATTTACAGAGATTTTGGATTTCCATTCATTCATTGTTGCACATTTCTCCAGTGTTGTAAATCTTAACCTCTCTGTAGATAAAATCCCATTTGAACACGAGTTGTCTCATCATGTTAATAAAGTGAGATTAGTGTCTGAGTACTTTGAGCTAATCTCTTCTAGAGGTTCAAGCAGAAATAGGGAGAGAGCTGCCAAGGCACAGGGAGGTCTCTACAGAACCAGGAAAAAGAAACTGAAGAGACAAGGATTTGTCCCAAAACCCACAGAAAGAGAACGCTTTCCCCTAAAGGGAGCTCCCTGAATTCATACTTATAGCCTTTAAAGCTGTGAGAAAATAAGTTTCTCTGTGTGAGAGCCACCTGCTGTTGGTATTTTTGTTACAGCAACACAAGCTAACTAAGACGCTAGGCCCATGAGGAAATAAATGGGGAAAATCCCTATGACTTTTATGTTAAGGCAAGTTTAGTAAACACTGCTATGGCTCCTTTAGTAATCTTTCAGCCTTTCAATGACATTAAAACATAACATCCTTCCACAGCAATTAGTTAGAAAACTTATCAGGCCTTGGGAACAAGGTTTTGAAATTTAAGAGTAGCCAAAGTGTGTATAACTACAAAGTCCAGACCCAGAATTAAACTGTTCTTCTGTTTGTCTCACATGTACCAAGCCTTGCTAGAGAGAGGTCTAGCAAGGTCTGACACTATGATGATTGCATCCATCAGTTCTTTCATTCCTCAACTATTATATTGAGTTTTGTGTGCCTAAAACTAGGAAAGAGTTGATGAATCCCTCAAGGGGTTCAACTTAATGAAAGGGATAGACAGATGAACAAATAAATACAAGAAGTAAAAGTACCTATGATGGATGTAAATACAGGTGTGGAAGCAAAGAAAAATGCCAAGACTAAAACTGTTTGTGTAAGTTGGTGGGAAAAGGCTTCTCTCTTATGGACCTTTTTAAACACATCTCTACAGAACAACACTACATCCTTTTATAAGTAAATAAATAAAATAAGTAAATGAATAAGTAAAAAAAGGTGCTTATTCATTGTGATTTGAGTGAAAATTTACAAACAAGTTGATTTTTCCATCAAAAGTTCATACCTACTGAATTTCATGACATTAATTATTATATATCCTGTCATTAATATTATTTTCCCTCCATCTTAAGAAGCTTTTGCATACTATAATCAGGGTTTTGAGTTTTGTGTTTTAAAATCCTTAGTGGTGTTGTGTTAAGTTACCATCAAGTTAGCTCCAACTCATGGCAACTTTACATGTAACAGAACAAAATTTTGGCCAGTCTTGTGCAACGTTCATAATCATTGATAAGCTTGAGGCCATTAAAATCCCTTTCTAGTTAAAATTTACCTTATAATTCTGTTTCTTCCTACAGCTAAAATACAAAGAAGTTTACCAAAGAAATAAATCCAACTGCACCATTGAGCCAGATGCTGTTCACATCAAAGCAGCCAAGGATGCCTACAAAGTCAACACCAACGTACGTTAAAGAACCTTCCCCAAAATTGATAGGACATTTGTCAGCTTCTGCAGGACATGTAATCCTTTTCTCCTATCTTCAGATGATTGAGCTTTAATGAGTACAGATCAAGAGTTATACTCCAGGAGCATGAGTAATGAACCTGAATCTAGATGTTGTGTTTAAATCTCTCAAAGAATCATGGGAAAGGGCAAGAGTGGTATAACTATGTGCCTCCATGTTTCAGTCAGGTGACTGAGGAATAAGAGAGTCCAATTTTCATGTGAAGGTTTTGGAAAAATACCTCTGGGTCTCTTATTTCTCTTTCTGATGCTCTCCTTATACCACAATCTCTCGGGCAGGCTTCCACTGGAAGAGAGAAAGCCATTTAGCTGATGTAGCTGGTTGGTGCTATCAAGATTTGACATAGTCCTTCCTCTCCAATCAGATACTGTCTGCACAGATTTACATATATATTTAGATTATATTTCTATATTTATATGTGTGTGTGTGTGTGTACATATATAGTAGCAAGATGCTGCTCTGCAATCCCATAGGCATGCAGTTTGAAGCCACCAGCTGCTTCATGGGAAGAAGGATAATCTTATGGAATTACTGCCTCTGAAAACCCACCAGAGGATCAGCTACGGATCAGTTCTAGCTCTACAGTACATAACAACATGTATAAATGGTTAGAGTAATGAGCTATTATAACACAACTAATTGTCCACTAGTACTAGAACGAAAGTGTATTTACTAGGGCCTGCAAACTGAAATACTCAAAGATCTGACAGCACAAAGGTTACCTGAGAATAGATTGGGTAAAGAATAGATGTGAAATAAAGCAAAAGCAGTTACATATAACTTGTAGAATCCAGATGATGCTTGTTTGAATATTGTCTGTTTTGTTCTTGGAACTCTTTGGTATGTTTGAACATCTTCATAATGAAATGGGAAAAACAAAACCTCATCAAATTGTGCATGTAAAGTATTTGCATTCATAAATGAAACCTCAATTTAAAAATAGACTTTAAAAAGTAACTCATTATCATCGAGTCAAAATTGACTCATATCTGACCCTCTGTTGGGTTTCAAAAGCTGTAAATTTCATGCAAACTGATTGCCTCTCTTTCTCTTGTATAGTGGATGGTGGATTCAAACTGCCAGAGAGGCATAACTTTGGATTAACTGTACCATTGCCCTTGTACTGTGCCACCAGAGCTCCCTTGGAAAAAGAGATGTGATTGTTGCTTACAGTTGTGTCAGAACCAACCTATAGCTGACCCTCCAGCGGGTTTTCAGAGGCAGTAAATCACACAGGAGGAGATTGCTCATCTTTCTCCTGGAGCAGCTGGTGGATTTGAACAGCATGGTTTTTTTGGATCTCAGTGCAGCTTTTTATTACCAGACCACCAGAGCTCCCTTGAAAAAAGAGAGTGAGGAAAAATAGTGGAGAAAGCTAAACAACTGTGTTTGTGACAACTATGTACCAAGTAAATCTATCAGTGCATTTTCCAACATATTTGCTTCATGTTTCCACGTGATATTTTAGTCATTATCACAATATTTTACATTTTCCATAGTGCTACTTATTGTACTCTTATGTAAAGATAACTTTTATATTAAACAAACAAACAAACAAACAAAAACAAAACAAACAACTGTGTGAGAGGGATAGGCATTTCCAAAGACACTGTCGTTTTATTTCACTGTACTCAGGAAACGAAATCCTTTGTGTCTCAGATTTAGTCTGGGCAGACCCTTCTCCAGCCTTAGTAAAAGTCTAACAAACACATTGTTTTTCTTGTTGTTGTTGATTGCCATCTAGTGGAACATGACTCATAGCGACCCTATGAACAAAAGGCCTGAAGCTTCTCTATAACTGTTGTCATTTACCAAAGTTCATAAAGTTTTCAGAGGCAAGTTGTTTAGGAATTGAATGCCACTCCTGCTTCCAAACCTGAGCAAACACATAAACCCCTTGAAAGTCAGATTGTCCAAGTTTGAATCTCTCTTCTGCTATTCTTAGCTATGTCCCTCTGGGCAGGTTACCTAAATCTTCCAGCCATTTCATGGGGCTGTTAGAAAGATTAAGTGTGCTGTGATTTAGAAAGCACTTAGAAAAGTACCAAGCATGAAATAGATACTTGAATGTGATTATACCAAGCTGGCACAGTTAGAGAGATAACAGAACCTTTTATCTAGTTGTTGTTACAAATATTAGCCTCTTTCTATTCTGGAGTCTCTAAGGGTGCAAAGTGTTAACATGCTGCCCAAATGGTTCCCAGTTCCGTTCACACAGAGCTTACATGGCAGAAGGGCCGAGTGGCCCGCATCTGAGAAGTCGGCCACAGAAATCCCTGTGACACACAGTTCTACCCTGACACACCTGGTGTCATAGTGAGTCAGGATAGACAGATTCAACAGCAACTGCTCTTTTTGTTTCTGTTTTTGCTTTTTTATGTTACAATGTTGGGACTAAGAGATCGTAACAGATGACCTCTTGAGAGACAGCTGCAGAGACTATATAGAAATGTTCACCGGGGCCCTCTCTTGCATAAGAACTGGTGTGTTCAAATGTGAGGCGAGAGTCTTTGTGTGCTGTGTGTTGATGAATTCTGCCTGCTGAAATAAGGTATTCTTTTTCATGTCATGAACTAACAGCTTGACTACAAGAAGCTGTATGAAGCAAACAAAGCTCACTGGAAGTGGACGCCTGACCGGCCCGACTTCATCCAGGCAGCCAAGTCCTCTCTGCAGCAAAGCGATGTAAGGGAGGGGAGTAACTGCATGCCACACCTGAGATTTTTCAGTAATAATCACTCCTAAGAACCACTGCAGTGGATGACAGCCCTAACCCCACTCAGGATAGCAGGCTTCTGAAGAGTGGACATCCAGTTCTGGAAGCCAGCCTGGCCACAGACCTTGTTATCTCACTGCTGAGCACAGACCCATATGGGTCAGGGCCCTAACTGAGGCTGGGGTGGCCTGGAAGGGAAAGCAAGCTGGGAACACTGGAAATGGGAGGTGCTGAGGAGTAGTGAGGGGGGCCTGGGAATCCCTCCTGTCATTCTGGTAGCAAGACTGTACATGACAGGCAAAGGGGGAGACCCTCCTTGGATTTAATTAGATGCCCAAATACTTCCATGTCTGGGATCTTCCCCCTGTTCTTCAGCTTTTCTTCCATTACAGTTTGAATACAAGCTGGACCGAGAATTCCTTAAGGGTTGCAAGCTTTCTGTCACTGATGACAAAGACATGGTGCTGGCCCTGAAGAACACTTTGATTGAAAGTGACGTAAGTAGGAGTGTCTTCTATCTTCTGTGCCACAGTCCTCAGGTGCATCCTGAAAAAGAATGTAGGACATGCTGTGTGTGTGTGTGTGTGTGTGTGTGTGTGTGTGTGTGTGTGTGTGAAGTGCTCCTGCAGGAGGTGAGCATATTGTTAGGTGCTATCAGGTTGAACTATGCAAACTGTTACTTACATCCAAGTGGTCATTTCATATTTATGCTGCACCCTAAAATTAATCACACAGCAAGAGTTAGTACCTTCTACTTATGATTACACTCTTCCAGTATTACCGTTTCCTCACATAGAAAGGATGAATAATAATGCCTCCACTGACATTGACAGAGGGTCAAATGACATGTTTGGAAAATGCTTTGAACAAAAGGTTCTATGTGTAGAAAGTCATAAGACCTATTTTGATTGCTATAAAAGCACAAATTTCAAAAGAGAAATTTTTAAAAACATTTTTACTATTTCCTATTCTTTCCAAACATCAACTCTCCTGCTGAGTTTTAAGGTTTGTAGGGGTCAAAGATGCTATTCTCCCAACTATATCTAGAGATTTGGAAACGAAATGAAAATATGCAAGATATCCAGAGGAGTGAAAGGTAAAAGGCATGTTGAGATTGATTTTTTTTTTACTCTTGCAGTTGAAATACAAAGAGAAACATGTCAAGGAAAGAGGCACCTGCCATGCTGTGCCCGACACGCCTCAGATCCTTCTGGCAAAGACTGTCAGCCATCTGGTGTCTGAGGTAACCACCCGGCAGCACACACGCTCTACTTCCTTCTTGGGCTAATGCCCAGACAGGTACCTTAACAAGTTCTCTGTGGATTCCCTCAGAACAAGTACAAGGACCATGTCAAGAAGCACTTGGCCCAGGGATCATATACAACACTGCCAGAGACCCGCGACACTGTTCACGTCAAGGAAGTGACCAAGAATGTCAGTGATGTAAGTGACAAGTCAGCAAAGCCTTGGCAGCAACAGTGCCACTTTTCCTTAGAAGCCAGGGGAGAATTAAATGTTGGGCTTTTTGATTGTTACTGTTTAGTGTGGGTTTTTTCCTTATAAATGCTTTCCTTTTGGGGGAGGGCATGTTTGGGGGTTTTATCCTTCATTGTGTTTCATTTGATCATTCCCATGCATGTGTCTTTTAAAATTTATCATTATTGATCTATGGCCACTATTACTCATCTTTTCAGATCCCCACTGGATCTTCCCTAATTCTTCACTCCCTTTCTCCATTCACCAAACTCTGCAATCTGTGATTTCTCTCCCTCTTCACCCACAGTCCCCACCCTTCCCCTCCCCTTCTGTCTTTGGCTATCCATACACATCTTACTAGTTGTCTTTCAGATTTTATAATAGTCTTATGCAGTATTCATCCTTATCAGCCTGAATTAGCTCACACAAAAAATGCTTCCTATTCCCTCCAATTTTATAGAGTATTTTTCAAAATCATTGCTCCTGAGTGCTGCATATTATTCCATCATGTACCACAATTTCTCAGTCCATTTGTTTGTTGATAGACATTTGGGATTTTTCCATGTTCTTCGTATTGTGAATAATGCTGTTATGAACATCAGTGTACAGATCTCCATTTGTGTCTCAGTTCTAATTGCCTCTGGGTATATTCCTAGCAGTGGCATAGCTGGGTCATATGGAATTTCTAGATCCATCTTTTTTAGGAAATTCCAAAATTCCTTCAGAGTGGTTGTACCACTTTAAATCCCACCAGTGTATGAGAATTCCAATCTCTCCACATCCTCTCCAGCAATAAATGCTTTCTGTTATGTAGCAGTCTTCTCACTGTCAGTAATACCAACATGTGAAGTTTATACTTTACTTTGAAAAAATAATCCAATATTACTGGCTTTTCAATTATGGCAGTTGTGGTAAATATAGATTTTGCCACAAGATATGCTCGTTAGCCAATTTGATACCACTGCTAAAATAGGAGGAAGAATTGGTAGTTAAGAGTAGCTTCTCTTTAAAAAAAAAGTCCAGACACTACACAGTAAATTAAAGTCTACCTCGTGGCCATTCCATATGTGTCAGAGTACGACTGTGTGCTGTAGGGTTTTCTATGGCTTATTTTTTTTTTCAAGTAAATTACAAGCTCTTTTATTTCATGGTATATCTTGATGAATTAACTGGACTTTATTTTATAAAATTATCATCACTTACCTAGAGAATAAAAGAGAAGAATTCTTTATTCATTTTAAGTTATCTTGTAAAAGTTGCCAAAATGGTGATTAACTTCCTTTAATAAATTATTTCCATCATTTTATGGATTAAAATAAATCCTAAAAAAAGCTTAAAAAATTAGAATCACTTCTTTTTATGCCAGATTGTCAATCTAAGCCCAAAACGGATGTCAAAATGAGGAACCATGATTTTTCTGCAGTTTCTCACAGTACTTTGACTAAATTAATTTTCTCCCTAGCTTTCTCCATTCTCACAGATATTTCTGATTCTGTTTAGACAAATTATAAAAAGAAGTATGTCAAAGAGAAAGGGAAATCCAACTACTCCATCATGTTGGAGCCACCAGATGTGAAGCATGCTATGGAAGTGGCCAAGAAGCAGAGTGACGTGAGTTCCCCCGCTTGACATTCTCAGAGCACCCCTTTCATCCAAAGAATCTAATCTTGTGATTTCTAGGGCATGCTCTGGTGAGTGGTCACTCCCACTTCTTCAAGGACCTTTAATTTAAAAAAAGCTACCATGAGAATTGGTTAAACTAAAAAGGTTGCTTCAGCAAGACTTTTTGGAAAATGGTGCATCTCCCAAGTGAATAATTCTTTTTCCCCAATAAAGGTTGCTTACAAAAAAGATGCCAAAGAGAACCTACATTACACCACAGTGGCAGACCGGCCGGACATCAAGAAGGCTACACAGGCAGCCAAACAGGCCAGTGAGGTAAGGCTGTGGTGAAAATGTCCCCATTCTCAAGGTTACTGCCATAAGTCATACCAGGCTCCTTCAGGTAGAATGTGTTGCCCATGTCTTGTTTTCTTTCATTCAGGTGGAGTACAGAGCTAAGCACCGCAAGGAAGGCAGCCATGGCTTAAGCATGCTCGGTCGTCCAGACATTGAAATGGCCAAGAAGGCAGCCAGGCTGAGCAGCCAGGTAACGTGCAAGGATGGGCAGGTGGTAGCTCTTCAAAAGAGAGGAAAACAACCTCGCCAGGAGAAGTGATTCCTAGAATGAAAGTGCAGCAATATTAGCAAACAGAGGCACGGGGGTCCTTGATAAGCACTATAGTCTTTTAAGAGTTATTTCATAACAAATACTTCTTTCTAATGTGTCTAGGACTTTCTGGTTTTCTACTTTCTCATGTATGGATATTTGTCTAGATGTCTGTGTACTTAACAATCTTTATGTGACAAAAACACATGATGTCCTACTGGACCTCTTCTCTAGGCAATAAAAATGACATTCCAAGAATCTAAGCCATACTTCAGTTTCCTGTAGGACATTTGCCAACATACAAATGTCATGAAATGCTAAACTTCTTGAACCCAACCAAAAGAGTCACAGTCCTTCATCTACCACACAAGTGCCTGAGCTAAAAACAAGATGACTAGATGTCTTCAGACTACCTGTCAGTGAATAAGTAATTCTAAGTTGGTATGATAAGAGGATCCTCAAGCGTTTGCTTGGGTATATTTCATTCTAGCAGTTCTCATAATATTGGGAAGAAATACATCAACCAAACCTTGCTTCTATATTATATTATCTATTTTTCTTATTATTTTTCAGTTCTCTCGGCTAACCCCATGGGGTCAGAATGTTCTAAACTTTAAGCTCTAAAACCCTCTGATTCAGCATCAGGTCTCTCAAGAGGGATACGTATTTGTTCACTAGCATTTGAGCTCGAGAGTAACTTACTCTTCCTTCAATTTAGAGTTACTATTTTCTTTTGTTCATTCTGTTTTTGTAAGTATTTGTTTGAAATAGTTTGGTTGCAATTTGGATTGATTTTCAGTAGTGCCAAAGATGGAATTTTGGATTCTAAATTTTTATTCCTTTTTTTTTTTTTACTTTTTTTACTTTTTTTTCCATTTTTTATAAAATGTGAATTACAGATGTCAAGTGATACAATCTTAAGACCAATTTAGCATTAGGAAAAGACAACAATTGCAGAAAACTGATTACAAGTTTGTTTTAAAAGTCTATGCAGTATGTTTATTTTAAATTAATGCATAAGTACTTGAGATCAACATACGGACTCACCAATAAACATCTCTAAATGTAATGGCATGTAATCAAATTAAAACCAAAGTTTTGAAAAATTCTTTTTATGGTCACCCTATTATCAAATGAAAAACAAAACATGACTCTGTGGTTGAAATTTTTTTTTTTACATTTAGAACACATTTTAATAACTCAGTATATCACTAATGAGTAGCCCTTCATTTAAAGCAAACAATGCTTTTTTGCCCTTTAAGTCTATGTAATATCTTTCTATGTAAACCACAAAAAGGCACTTAAATTGTTCATTTCCATTTGTCCCCCACTTGGAGAGCCACAGAACAAAATTATACCATGTTTCCCTTCTGTCTTAAAATCAGAGTGGAGAAAGTGAATATTTTAAAAAGCTTTACTGTCTGTAAAGAGAGCTCTGATAGCCTAGTGAGTAAGGAGTCGCACTGACAGCTCCTAATGGAGCTGGAGGAGGTTCAAATCCACCAGCTGCTCTGCAGAAAATAAGGGGGAAACTTTCTCCTGTGTGATTTACAGCCTCTGAAAACTCATGGCAGGATCAGCTATGAGCCATTTCTGACTCCAAGGCAATGAATTGTTGTTGCTGTTGTTGTTGTTGTTACTGTTTGTGAAACTTGGAGGCATGTATTTCTGATCATAAGTGAATCTTACGGTCTGGAGAATTAGGTTCCTTTTTGGAACTCACCTTCCTGGGCTCACTTTGTATTAAAGGATCGTCTTCCTGCAGTCACTTCCGTTGGTGTCTCAGAATTCACAGTGTCTTTCTCATGTGGCCTCTGGCCGAAGGGGCTTCAGCTCCTTGTAGAGTGCCCATTCTGACTTTGCTGTCTTGCCACGTACTCTAGGTGGAATACCTCAAAGACCAAAGGCGAGGGCACGGGCACGGCGCCGCATCTTATGACACTCCTATGATGAGGCATCTTAAGAAAATTAATGTACTCATCAGTGATGTAAGACTGACACCAGCAAGCGGATATCTCTGTCTTTCTCTTTTCTTCGTCTCTTTACTTGGCCTTGGTCAGATGACTGACCAAGTTGCGCTCTTTTCTGTTGATTTTGTGTTGGAACGTGTAGAATGCTATGGAAACTTGTAAAAGGATCTCATTTTGCACACTGCCCTCTTTCCCTGCATGCTGCTCCCCCCTCCTAAAATGTGCCACTTGAAATAATAAAGTAGTCTTGGCTTGGTAATAACCTCCCAATATGTGTTAGGTAACTGAAGGAAAGAAAAATTAAAAGAGAAAATGAAAACAGAATTTCATCCTCAACCACACACATAAAACCTTGCTACTCTTAGAGATATTTTACCATTTGGTATTTACCAAAGAAGACTCCATGCCTTGAAACTGTGGTGTGGGCAAAGTGTACTGAATATTCTATGGACTGCCAAAGACCAAACAAATCTCTGTTGGAGGAAATGCAGCCAGCATGATGCTCAGTGACAAGAATGATGAAACTTTATTTCACATACTTCGGGCATGTTTTTAGAAGGATATAATCTGTGGAAAATATCATGCTGTGAAAAGTGGAGGATCAGAGAAGAAGACCCTCAACAAAATGGGTTGACACAATGACTCTATCTATGGGCTGTAGCATGATGGAAATAGTAAGGGTGGTAACAAGTAGGGCAAAGTTCAGTTCTACTGTTCATGGGACTGCTCAGTGGTAGTCTTGATGGCACTTAACAACAACTGTCACCCAATTACACTTTAAATAAACACGACTAGATACTTAAAAGGCTTTTACTCACAAGTTAATTTTTACTTTTTGTTCAATAAAGCCGAGTCTGTTCTCATTATTGAGTCTGTTGATGAGTCTTTAGAAGTGCCAACATATAGCTGATTCCCTAAAAAAGAGGAGCAAAAAATGGAATGTTATACCTTCAAATACAAATAAACTTTGAAAGAATAATCAATTTAACACCATTTTCCTATACTACAAAGCAGCCTTGATGGCAAAGTGGTTAAAGCAGTCTATTGCAATCAAAAATGGTGAAGGTTGGAAATTTCCAGTTACTCTGGTAGAAGAAAGAAGTAGTCTGCTTCTATAAAGATGAGCAGAATTGAAAACTCTGCGGAGAAGTTTAAATCTTTCCTAAAGGACGAGTTGAAATGGACTAGTTATTAGTGGTTTTGATTTTTGGGGGGTTGCCTACATTGTATTAGACTTGTCTCTGAGCCTGATGAGAACATACGTCTATGGTTGCTAACAATTACACTTGCTGATACATGGCATTGCATACTTACTGCTTAGAGTTCCATGACTGAAAGAAGATAGAAAATAAAAACCATTTGGTTTCTTAATGTCAACGCATACATAGTTTTACTATACTTACTGCCTTTTCTAACATCATTTTAAGAACTCTTGCAGTCCTAAATTTGCTATATGTGTGCCTATTTTAAAAAAAATAGATGATCAAGAAAAAAAAAAAAACACACCACAAAAAACAATGAAGGCCAAAAGAGCAGAATTCACATTCGTATAAGTAGTGATGGTGGGCTGCATTTGCCAGCGAGAATCTTGGGGAGACATCCCTGGGCAGTGAAAACTGCTTCATAAAGCTGAAGGACTCATAAGCACTTCAGATGAAAGACCTTCCAAAATACTGGCTGCTGAAAACCTTACAGAGCATGGTTCTACTCCCCTGGAGCTCTTATTGAAATCAAATCAACAGCAAGTCTTGTTCGGTTTTCTGGTTTATTTCATCTTCTAATTCAGAGGGGAGGCCTATTTTTTTTTCTTATTAAAAAGAATGAAATTTAAGTTTACTTGACATGTACAGAAGAAAAAGAAACATCAATGAGCCACTGTATATGCTGCTTATCAAAAAATATTTCTTCAGAAGAGTTACTATTTTCTAAAAGATGAAAAGACGATTTCTGGCAAACTCCTCCAAAAAAGCCAGCTTTATTCAAGATGGGCCTTTGAATCTCTTCTTCCCTGGTCTGACTGTGTATCTGGTTTACATTGCTTTTCTGTTTCACAGCTCTTGGGACCTTTCTTATTCTTATTTGTTCCTATATCCCTTAGGAAATATTTATTTTGGTCCAGACCCCAACTTATCACCTCTGACTTTCCCTAGTAGGCTTTCCATTTCTTTGTTTTGAGTGTAAACTTCCTGACTGAAAAGAGTTACTCTAGCATTTATTTCTTTTTTATTTTTTCAAATATGGTTAACCTCTTCTGCTTGCACCTTTGTGTGTCTGTCATTAGTGTGCCTGCATCATGCTGTTTGTTCTGCATGCTTAGTTTTCCTGTGCATTTGCACTGTGGGTTTATTCAAAGTAAATGAGTCTCATTGTTGTGAATGCATTTTTTTTTCTGATGTGGCTGGTTTCATTGAGTTTAGCATTTGAGTGACCTCACGTGTCTGTTCTGATGGATAAGTGTAAGGGTAGGTGCTGATTTTAAATGTCTATAGATAACACACCCAGGTGACTGGATCCTAGTATGCTAACTTTGGATGGACTTTTATTACTAGTAACATAAACCCTGAGTTCCCCTGAGATCAAATAATTACCCCCTTTTAACTGGCTAACTTCTAGAATTAGCTTATTTTTCATTCCTCCTGGAGTAAATTACTAGTGAAGTTCTGCTTCTGGACTTAATTATAGAATACTATTGACAGATTCAGTAAGAAAATGTTTGTCACTTTTGATTATTCTGTTGAATTGTCTTACAAACAAACCATAATCCTTAGACATTTCACCTCAGTATAATGCACTCTTGGCTTTTCATGCATTTATTCAATCAAAGCACATTTATTGAGTAAGAATAAGTACCAAACATTGGCCTTAAAAAAAAAAACAAACACTTGAAGTTATTTAGTCCTTTGTTTAATCTTATTTTCCAATGTCCTGAAAGTAATTTTAGGGACCTCTGGTGGCTTAGTGATAAGGAGTTATACTACTGACTCAAGAGCAGGCAATTCAAATCTACCAGCTGCTATGCCAAGAAAGATGAACAGTCTTTTCCCATGTGATTTACAGCCTCTAAAAACCTGCTGAAGGGTCATCTATGAGTTTGTTTTATTCAATGGCACATAATAAAAGTATATTTAACTTACTTAAATATGTTGTTGTTCTTGTTATGTGCCATCGAGTTGCTTGTGACTCATAGCCCTATATGCTCTTCTATTCTGTGCCAACCTAGCCATCTCAAATGCACTTATTCCCACCTCTCCAGTCACAGAATCGATCCATCTCATCAAAGGTCTTCCTCTCCTTTGCCGCCCCTCCACTTTGCCAAACATGATGTCCCTTTCCAAGGATCAGTCCCTCCTTGCAACATGCCCAAAATATGTCAGACGAAGCTTCAGAATCCTTGACTCCAGGGAACATTCTGGCTTCATCCTCTCCAGGACAAGCCTGTTTGTTCTCCTAGCAGTCCATAGTATATTCAACTCTCTTGAGCTGTGGTGCTGGATAAGAGTACTTAAATGTACATTTAAACTTTATTTAGACTTATTTTTCTAATTATTCTAAAATATCTCATTTATTTCTTATTTCAAATCTGACATCACTGTAAAGTCTATAAGGTCTATAGTCCTGATTCTTTTCTTTTTTTACTCAAAAGGTACACCATTTTTGTCTAGTTTAAAAAAATTAAAATGATGTCAAAACGCCATTTTAGAATCACAATAAACTTTTTGAGTTTTAAACTTTATTGGTCATTTACAATCTGTCTTTGAGTAGACCTGAAATATTTGTTCACTATTTAAGATGTCCAAAATGCTCTAAATCAAATACATTCCTTGCAGTAGACCTTAAATAATTTTGCTATTTAGGAAGTCCAAAATCCTCTGACTCAAATATATTTTTCAGTGTAACCTGAAGCCTTTTTTCCCCACTTATTTTTGTTATGCAGTAGAAAGAGGTGGTTATCTTTTATGCTTCTGTTATTATACACTAAAAGGGAAGTGCTGGTGGCATAGTCCATTGAGAGCTGTGTTGCTAACTCATGCTTCTCTGGCATTCAAGTCCTTCAGTAATTCCACAAGAAAAAGATGGTCAATATCATACCCTGTGATTTAACAGAACCCAAGAGAGGGTCAGCTCTAAGTTGGTTCTGACTCAAGTCCAGTGAGAGACAAAAAATGTAATACAAATAACATATTACTTAGTCTTTTTCTTGATTCCCTGTTTTCCAAAAAATATCTATCAATAGTGCCCATCTTAACTCTCATTTTGGATAATAACTTATATTGACATCTTATATATAACATACAGTCTTTGGTCTACATTTTTCTACCATATCCTTAATTCTCAAATTGATTGATGTTCGGGAATAATTTGAATGTTTGCATTTGCTCGTAGGTCAAATATCGGGAGAATTTTGACAAAGAGAAGGGCAAGACACCAAAATATAATCCAAAAGACAGCCAGCTCTATAAAACTATGAAAGATGCTAATAATCTTGCAAGTGAGGTATGTTTTTTTCATCACTCTTTCCAGCATTGTTTTAGAATAGGTTTTCTTAATAAGATCTCCAGTAGCACCGTTTCCATTTCCTATATATACGATCTCCTCTTTTTTCTTCATATGAAGGTTAAATATAAGGCGGATCTGAAGAAACTTCACAAACCTGTGACTGACATGAAGGAATCACTGATAATGAATCATGTCCTGAATACAAGCCAGCTTGCTAGTTCTGTAAGCTCAGCCATTTGTTCCAGAAACAGCTTGTTTCACTCATTTGCAACTAAAAATTCCTTCCCTGAACTCACATGCATCTCCTTCTATGCTACTGATCCACTAGATTTATTAGAAAGCTCTTCTTGTGTTTGAGTGACTTCTTCAAATTGCAATATTAATTTTCCAATTCTCCATTGATTATAACATCTCACAGTATATAATAATT